TCATTATTAGTAACACAAGCCACTCCTACCATGAAATTCCATGGGTTTTAGGAGCACTGTGCCAGGAAACCAGGATGAAGAGCAAATACGTATTTTTCATCATTCCACAGGTAGACTATCATTATCCCCATGTTACAGATGGAGGGACCGAAGCACAGCGATTCTAAGTGACTTGACTTAGGGCACACACATCATTAACAGCAATAGCAGGACTTGAAGGCTGGTGGCCCGTTCCAATTTAACCTTGGCTGCAACACCAATTGCCTTGCTATGTGGCACTCTGGGGAGTCACGGAGAGTGGCCCTCCTCAGAAGGGAACCCTGATGGTCATCCACTTCCAAGGGCAGGGCCAACAGCTTCCCTGTTGGGAAAAGATTGTAATCAGATTCAGTAGTGTGCCAGTAAACCACCAATTCACTGGGGAAAAAAAAAAAACCCTGATTGGTAGTTGCTTTCCACGGTGTCAATAATCCCACCAAGGCTGGTTTCCAGCTGCCAGCTTGGCATCATTGAACACAGAGCTGGGAAGAAAAGCGCCCAGCAGGCGGGTGCAAGCTGACTGCACACCACCGCAGACCGCTGTATGGGTTTGGGGGGCTTACTGGGCACTCCCAGTAGGTCTGCGGTTATGAAGAAGCAGGTGCTCCTGTGTCCGATTCCAACAGCAACACTCCAAGACAGGCTGAAGCTCCTGCTATCCTGTGGCTTTACCCCACCCAAGGACACCCCTTCAGGTTTGATGGGCGGAGCCTTGCTGGAGCCCTCCTCACTGACAGTTGAGCATCAGCCTTTGGCCCAGGGTGTGATCCCAGGTCCAGGGATCAAGTCCCACACCAGGCTCCCTGCAAGGAGACTGTTTCTCCCTCTGCCTATGTCTCTGACTCTCTCTCTCTCATGAATAAATAAAATATTTTTTAAAAATTTCATTCACTTATTTATAGAGAGAGAGAGTGCATGCTCATGTGAGGGGGGTTGGGAAGGGTAGAGGAAGAGGGAAAGAATCCCAAGCAGATTCCCCACTGAGCACAGAGCCCAACCCAGGGCTTGACCCCATGAGCCTGAGGCCATGACCTGAGCCAAAATCAAGAGTTGGAAGTTCAACAGACTGAGCCACCCAGGTGCCCCTTTTATTATTTCTTATATGTATTTTCTGATTTTGTTACAATAATCAGAATAGCGTTTGGGCAATTTGCTTTATTTCCTGTCAGCTTTTCCCCAGTGGAGTCTCTTCTTTGTGTCTGCGCTCACCGTCGAGTGGATCTTGTCTGTGTTCCCCACCCAGCATCCATCTGTCTTCTTTGGGGTACAGCACCCCAAAATCCTTCAGGGACCTACTCCGATACCACTTGCAGGCCTTCTGTGTCAGTGGGGCTGACCCCATGCCCCCACTGCAGGCCTGACCAACCAGGATGTGGTTGGCAGGCTGTGGAGATCCCTTCGGAGAAGGACCCAGGAGCCCACAGGGCCCAGGCCTGAGGTTCACCACAACTACGTAACTAGCAGCGTCTCTGCACTGGCCCACAGCCGCTGGCAGCCTGCACACCGAGGACACCCTCCTACAAATCCAGCATCAGGGGCAGCCCCGGTGGCTCAGCGGTTTAGCGCCACCTTCAGCCCAGGGCCTGATCCTGGAGACCTGGGATTGAGTCCCACATCGGGCTCCCTGCATGGAGCCTGCTTCTCCCTCTGCCTGTGTCTCTGCCTCTCTCTCTCTCTCTCTCTCTCTCTCTCTCTCTCTCTGTGACTATCATAAATTAAAAAAAAAAAAAACAGAGGGGCACCTGGGTGGCTCAGTTGGTTAATCGTCTGCCTTTGGCTCAAGTCATGATCCCAGGGTCCTAGGACCAAGTCCCACACTGGTCTCCCTGCTCAGCAGGAGTCTACTTCTCCCTCTCCTTCCACTCCTCCCCACTGCTCGTGCTCTCTCTCTCTCTTTCAAATAAATAAAATAAAATCTTAAAAGAAAATACCAACAGCATTTTCCCACAGAACTAGAACCAATAATAGCAGAATTTGTATGGAACCACAGAGGACCCCAAATAGCCAAAGCAATCTTGAAAAAGAAGAACAAAGCTGGAGGCATCACAATCCCAGGTTTTAAGATATACAACAAAGCTTTGGTAATCAAAACAGAAAATAGGGCACTTGGGTTGCTCAGTGGTTGAGCATTTGCCTTAGGCTCAGGTTGGATCCCGGGGTCCTGGGATCAAGTCCCACATCAGAATCCCCATGGGGAGCCTGCTTCTCCCTCTGCCTATGTCTCTGCCTCTCTCTGTGTGTCTCTCATGAATAAATAAATAAAATCTTTTAAAAAAATAAATGGTGCTGGGAAAACTGGATAGCTACATGCAAAAGAATGAAACTGGACCACTTTTTAACATGATACACATACATAAAAACCTCGCAAGATGTAAAGAGCTAAGTGTGAGACCTGAAACCATAAAAAATACACACTTTCTCATTCTTTGCAGTATGGATAGACTGAGAATTTTCTAGATCTTTAAGTTCTAATTCCCTTTAGCTTAATAATTCCATCTTTAAGTTAGTTCCCTCCTTTCGAAGTCTACTATAAACAATCAAAGCAGCCAAGCCACACCTTCAATATTTTGCTTAGAAATTGCTTCAATTTCTGCTGTTTTCATGCCACCATAATGGTGCGCATGAGTGTCCTGGTAGATGCTCTCAAGAGCATTAATGATGCAGAAAAGAGAGGCAAATACCAGGTTTTCATTAGGCCATGCTCCAAAGTCATCATCCGGTTCCTAACTGTGATGATGAAGCATAGTTACGTTGGCAAATTTGAAATCATTGATTCTCAAGGGGTGGGAAAATTGTTGTGAACCCCACAGGGCAGGTTAAATAAGTGTGGAATGATCAGCCTCAGACTTGATGTACCACCCCAAAGATCTAGAAAAATAGCAGAATAATCTGTTCCCGTCCCACCAGTTTGGTTTCATGGTACTGACAACCCCAGTTGGCATCGTGGACCATGAAGGAGCAAGATGAAAACACACCGGAGGGGGATGCCTGGGTGGCTCAGTGGTTGAGCGTCTGCCTTTGGCTTAGTAGTTGAGTATCTGCCTTTGGCACAGGGTGTGATCCCGGAGTTCCAGGATCGAGTCCCACGTCGGGCTCCCTGCATGGAGCCTGCTTCTCCCTCTGCCTGTGTCTCTACCTTGTCTCTCATGAATAAATAAGTAAAATCTTTTAAACACACACACGCACGCAGGAGGGAAACTTCTGGGATCCTTTTTCTAAGGATGTAATACATACATGTAAATATAATACCTCAATGGGAAAAAAAAGGAAGAAATTGCTTCAAATCCTTCCGATTCCATTGCTCACAAGCTCTACCTTCCAGAAAACACTAGAACACTATTGCAATTCAGCCAAGTTTTTTTGCCACTTTATAACAAGGTTCACCTTCCCTCCAGTTTCCAATAACACAGTCCTTGTTTCCACCTGAGATCGTATCAAAATGCCTTTACTATCAATAGTAAATTCAGAAAAAAAAAGTAAATTCAGGATTATTGGAGGTTCTCTGAGAAAACTGAGGATTTCACTCCAGAGGTCTCCCTTCCCTTCTAGCTTTCTCCAGAATCATCCTTAAACATCCTCACAGCACTGAAGGCTTCTCTGAGCCCACAGCTCAGACTCTCCCTGCCTCTGCCCATAACCTAGTCCTAGGGCTGCGTCCACATGTTTAAGTGTTTGCTACAACAGCCCCCTGCTTCTCAGCACAAATTTCTGTCTCAGTCTATTCAGACCACTATTACAAAACACCATAGACCAGGGCAGGTGGGGGGGTGCTTATGAACGTTGGAAAAAGATTTAAGTAAACTCTATGCCCAATGTGGGGCTCACACTCACCACCCCCAGGATCAAGAGTCACGTGTTCCACTGACTGAGTCACCCAGGCACTCCCAACAGAAACTTATTTCTCACGATTCTAGAGGCTGGGAAGTCCAAGATCAAGGCCCACGTGGGTTCAGTGTCTGGTGAGGACCTGCCTCCTGGTTTGTAGATTGCTGCCTTCTGGCTGCATTTCACATGGAGGAGGGCACCAGGCAGCTCTTTTATAAGGGCACCGATGCTGTTTGTGAGGGTCCCATCCTCACGACCTAACCACCTCCAAATACCATTACATTGGGGATTAGCTTTCAACCTCTGAATTTTGGAGTGGGACAGAAACATTCAGTCTATGGCACCCCACACCAAAGACAGTCATTGGGATGCCTGGGTGGCTCAGCAGTTGAGCATCCTGCAGGGAGCCTGCTTCTCCCTCTGCCTATGTCTCTGCCTCTCTCTGTGCCTCTCATGAATAAATAAATAAATCTTAAAAAAAAATAAAGACAGTCATTGCCAGGGGCTGTGCAGGCCCTCAGCCTTCATTCATTTCAACTCACCACTGCTGGGAAACTGACTCTGCAGAAAGACTGGCCAAATCCGGGTCCTCAGTCACCAGCATGGTGACAGCAGACAGGTACTGGGGCTGGCTCCTTAGAATATTTATGATAAATCAACATCTGTGTCCCATGGTTCCTGTGGGCACCAGCACCTGTACCTATATATATCCACTTTTCTCCCAAAACATTTGCCTCTCTTGGGATGCCTGGGTGGCTGAGCGATTGAGCGTCTGCCTTTGGTTCAGGTCCAGATCCCGGGATCCGGGATTGAGTCCCACGTCGGGTTCCCCATAGGGAGCCTACTTCTCCCTCTGCCCATGTCTCTGCCTCTCTCTGTCTCTCATGAATAAATAAATAAATAATCTTTAAAAAAAACTTGCCTCTCTTTCATGATGTACCTGCAAACTCAGCTATAGATTGTCCTGCGGACTCAGCCCACTAGGACAGCCACTCCAGAGGCTCAGGACCCTTGCTGTACAAGTAGCTATGACATCGCCAGCTGCCTATAGCCCCCTGTGACGTCACCACCTGAACAACTTGGCCCGGCAGGGCTGTGGCCACTCCTGCAACCAGCGCAAGTGACAGAGGACCTAGATGACCACCACGCCCTCGAGAGAGGCCAGAGCTGCCAGCATCCCCACAGACGGCAACAGCAGATCCCCGGATGGTCCAGGAGCGGGGTCCCAAAATCAGGTGGGACCAGCGGCTAATGGTGCCATAGCATCACCTGAACAGCAGGATGTAGATCAGGCCTCTGTCGAGTCGGTGACCTCCAAACCCACATCAGCATCTGGGGAACAGGACAGCTATGCAGTGGCTGAAGGGCACAGCCAGGAGCCCAGAGAGGCCTCAAACACTCTACAAATGTCCACAAGCCCCCAGGACCCAGCATGGGATGGACAGGGGCAAGATTCCAGGATGATTCAGGGCCTTCAGACCTCCCAATGTGACTCCCTGGCGGGAGAAGAGACCCCACAATCGGCAGGCATCCCGGACAGAGAACAGGAATCAGCCCCAACCACCCCAAGTACTGAGGTGCAGCCCTCCAGAACCGTGGATGCCCAGCCCATGGGGAGCACTGCAGACACGGCTAGTCAGCCGCGTGGTCAGGACACCAGTGCCACCGAGTCTATGGAGGCGGATCCTGAGTGTCTGGAGCCCGTGAGCCTTGACACCAAAGCTTTGCCAGGAGCTGAGTCCCAGGGACTGACCGAAGGGGATTTGGGGGAGCGCTCCAGAGACCTGAGGAGGCCTTCAGTGGCTCCAGGAGGCAGTGGCCCGCCCTCGCCCAGCCCCCAAGAAGTGGCCCTGGGGGGGAGGTCCCTCGACTCCAGCCTTTGCATGGCCAACGAGGAGGACAGCTATATGCGCTCCATGACCAGCCTGCTGGGCGGAGGCGAGGGGTCCATCAGCTCCCTGGCAGACGTCCTCGTGTGGTCTGAGACCACCGTGGGCATGGCCTCGGCCCTGCTGGCCTCCGGCCACAGCTCGGTGACAGACCTGCTGCACAGCCCAGGGCCCAGCCTGCGCTCTGTCTCCAGTATCCTGGGGAGCACCTTCTCCTCTGGGCTGATGGCAGGGACCAGCCTGGCCCTGCGCTCTGTCACCCACCTGCTGGAGAGGGTGGAACAGAGGACCCTAGAGGGCGTCCGCTCGGCCGTGCGCTACCTGACCAGCCACCTCGTTCCCCACCAGGCCATGCCAGCCCAAACTCCGGCTAGACCCCAGTAAGGGAGCCCTGGAGGACCGGCTCGGCAGCCTCTGAGAGCCCAGAGCCCCGCATGCCTGCTCCCCTGCCCGCCCCTGCGCTCACCGGCTCTCCCCAGATCAGGCAATAAAGCACTGGAGAGCGTTTATTTTCTAAGCACGGAAAGGTGTCCCCCCTGAGGGCTTCTCGGGTTGTCCAATTGGGGGGGCTGGAGATTAAAGTCCAGAAACACAATAGCCTGGCAGGACTGGAGGGCCAGGTGTAGGGGTCTCAGACTTGCAGACATTGACTCTGGCTAGACCTCCAACCACGTACATATGTTCCTGAGGAAGTAAGGCCTGACCCTTCCCCAGGGCCTTCTGGCCTAGCAGGCTGGGGGGGTGCCCTACCGGCATCGGGGGCTGTTGGGGGGGACCTGCTGGAGCTCTCTAAGTGGGATTGAGAGGTCAGAGCCAGACCGGTGTGGGTTCACACCCTCATGCTGTTACTGGTCCTGGGCAAGTCACTTTACCCTCTGAATCTCCGGTTCTCCCCAGTAGGATAGATAAGGAATCCATACCATGAGGATGTTTACGAGACGTAAGGAAAACATTGCAGGGCCTAACACATGGTGTCTGGCACTTAATGAGCTCACACATTACACGTGCTGTTACTATCCTCAGTAGACTGGGGACACGGCAGGAAAAGGGGTCTAGGTAGGGGGTCCAACCATCCCTGTTTGCCTGGGATGTGAAGGGTTCCTGGGACATGGGACTTTCAGATTTTAAAACCAGGAAAAGGGATCCCTGGGTGGCGCAGCGGTTTAGTGCCTGCCTTTGGCCCAGGGCGCGATCCTGGAGACCCGGGATCGAATCCCACGTCGGGCTCTGGGTGCATGGAGCCTGCTTCTCCCTCTGCCTGTGTCTCTGCCTCTGTGTGTGTGTGTGTGTGTGTGTGTGTGTGACTATCATAAATAAATAAAAATTAAAATAAAATAAAATAAATGAAATCTTTAAAAAAAAAAAAACCAGGAAAATTCCAGGCAAACTAGGACAAGCCGGTCACCATAGACCCAGGCTTCTTTATAAATGTCTCCGTTGGAAAGGGAGCACCTGTTGTTAGAAAGCCACCAGCCCACCCTCTGTCTGCATACCGTGCCACACGAGGCAGGTGACTTGGTGAGCAGAGCTCCGGTGGCACATCAACCCCACTCTCGCCCCTGGTGCCTGTGCAGGTCGCACCCTGCACCCCTCCCTGCCTCAGCCCTGGCCATGGTTTCGTTCATTCCACCGTCTCCAAGTGGGAGCCCTGGGCTGAAACTGGCTCACCAATGTATTTGCCTGTCCCATACGGTGTTTCTCAAATCTTGTGTTAATTGCTAACACTTAAAAGGCAGGAGATTTTTAACATAAAGTGACAGATTAAAAAAATAGATTCCTGCTTCTCTTAAAAAAACCTAGAGGCCTTATTTTTTCAAAGCAACCAGCAGCCCAGCTGCCCTCTTTAGAGAGACCTACCTGGCCTGCAGGGTGATTGATGTCACCTGGCCAGCACCCAGAGGCGCACCTTTGCCACCCCTACCCCGCTGATGGCTCCCTCGAGGAAGTGCGATACCAGGCCCCAAGGGGATGCAAAGACAGACCAGGTGTGTCTACTCCCTCTTCTCCAGAAGCTGCTATTTCCAGTAGGTGAGACATGAACTGTCTTCATAATGAAAGCAAAAACTTCAGGGGAGGAAGATCATCAATTCAGATCCTAGTAATCAGGGTCTTCCAGAGGAGCAACTGAGTCAAATCTGAAAAGAGAGGAGCGGTGGTGTTCCCCGACAGAGGGGACAGGAACACAAGCTGAGGCAGGTGTGGGAGGGCGGTGGGCAGCTCAACCTGAGCTGAACCCAGAGCCGAGAACAGGTGACCAGGCTGCCAGGGTAGACCCCAAATGCTTTCCACAATTTCTGAACCAGGTAAGTGCCACTGTCTGGCAGAGAGAGACTGGCAAGGTGAAGGAAAGATTGGAAGGGACAGAAACCGAACTCAGCCAGATCAGCTGCTGGGAATAGCCGAAAAGCACCAAGACCAGGTGGGAGCTGCTGGACCCAGGCTGGGCCCTGTCCTCAGGGCTCCATCTCTGCAACTTTGCCCCCTGCCCCGCCCTCCCCCGCCCCAGCAGGCTATTTTCCTGGTGGCTGAGCCACCTTCCTGGAAAGACAGAAGCCTTGTTCTTACCAGCTGTGATGGGTTTGGGCCCCATGCTCCCTCCTGCACCAATCACTGAGGCTCACGCCCACCTAGGGGAATGGGGGGGGGGGCACCAGGGTCAGCCCGGCAGTGAGGGCTCCTCCTCCACAAGGGCTGCTAGACCAACACCATTTTGCGTGTTGAAGAGTTGTAAGAGTGTGCCCTTGGGGGCCCTGCTGCCTCCAATCCTGCTCTACCTCCTATGAACTGTGTTACCTTAATCTCCCTGTGCCTCAGTTTCCTTATCCCTAAAATGTCAATAATAACAGTACCTATGGCATCGGGCAGCCCTGAGGGCCACGTGAGTTTAATGCGCCAAGTTCACAGCACAGTGCCTGGCACGCAGTTGAGTGCTGCGTGTGTTTGCAATCATTGTGATTCTAACTACAGAGGCTTCTATGGAACCATTCATTGCCAAGGACTGACTTTCCCTGCTTGCTCCGGCCTTCCTCTTTACTGCCCAATAAACAGTCATGTTGCAAATCCTCCTGGCAGCACATCTTCTCTGAAGGTGGGACCCCGCCCCCCACCCAGGCATCCAGGTACTAGTGCACCCAGAGAGAAGGCCAGGCGTGCACACTGGGGTATGAGGGTGACACATGGACAGAAGTGGGAGCACCCCAGCTCTGGATAAGAAGGCCAGAGCCAGAAAGGAAAGGGCCCAGACAGGAACTTGGGGGAAAGGCCTGGTTCCCCAGGCAAGAGGGAAGCGGTTCCCGAGACTCAGGAGCAGAGCAGGGGGGTGATCCAGCCTAAGCCCATGTGGGCCTCTGGGTGGCCAAATATGGAACAAGGGAAGCATTACGGGGGAGAAGCAGGTAGTGGGAACAGAAGGTGGCATGGAAGGGGGAGAAAGGAGCAGCAGTGGTCAGAATAATGGGGTGGAGGATGCCGGGGTGGCTCAGCGGTTGAGCGTCTGCCTTTGGCTGAGGGCATGATCCTGGGGTCCTGGGATCGAGTCCCACATAAGGCTCCCTGCATGGAGCCTGCTTCTCCCTCTGCCTGTGTCCCTGCTTCTCTCTGTCTCTGTGTGTGTATGTGTGTGTGTGTTTCTCATGAATAAAGAAATAAAACCTTTTTTAAAAATTAAAAAAAAAAGAATAACTAGGTGGCTGAATGGAGGGAACTCTCTGGTGTTGAGACTGAAGCTTCGACAAAGTCATTAATTCACCCCCACGGAACTGGAACCCCCTCACTCTTTCCCATTTATTTATTTATTTGAGACAGAGGGAGACAAAGCAGGAGCAGGGCGGGGAGGGACAGAGGGAGAGGGAAAGAGAGAAGCAGGCTCTGAGGGAGCCCCATGGGGTCATGGTCCCAGGGTCATGACCTGAGCCGAAGGACCCACTCTTTCTCCTTTACATGCCAGAGCTCACACCTGACAACCACCAGCACTTCTCCAGCGCTTCACCCACCCTTTTGGGTGTTTGTCTGCCACTGAGAGATTAGCCTGCAAGCAGAGGTTCTGCGCAGAGACTTTTAGGCCAGGCTGAGTTCCAGGGGGACCGGCCCAACATCGTGACCTCTGAGCCCCACAGGAGCTGCAGCTTGGCGAAGGGAAGGGCGCAGATCAGTCCCGGCCCACAGCAGAAGGGACACTGTGGCCTCTCCCTGTGGCACAGTGGACACTGTGGTGGGTCGTCCATCCCCTTCAATTAAGGACCTGTTCCCCCTGCTGCTGGGGGCACAGTCAAGGGTCGGCCTTCAGTGCCAGCTCCTTCAGAGAGCTGTCCCCCACATCGTGACCAAGTCTGGGCCAGAGTCTATGGTATGACCGTCCAACTCCAGCTCTGGAATGCCTGTGGGGCTGGCCGGGGGGGGGGGGGGGGGGGGGGGACCTGGGGTTCTCACTGCAGACTCCACTCCCCTCCACCCGCTGGCTCTCAGATCCTGCGTTCCAGAGAACCCAACTTGTGACCAGTTTTGTTCCCATCTAAGATGTGTGGGGCGGGGGGGGGGGCGGTGAAGGGGACCTACAAATTAAAACTGTGGCAAAAGTTCAAAGATTTTTTTTTTAAGATTTTATTTATTGGGCAGCCCTGGTGGCTCAGCGGTTTAGCGCCGCCTTCATGATCCTGGAGACCCTGGATCGGGTCCCGCATTGGGCTCCCTGCATGGAGCCTGCTTCTCCCTCTGCCTGTGTCTCTGCCTCTCTCTCTTTCTCTCTGCATCTCTCATGAATAAATAAATAAATAATTTTTTAAAAAATAAAATAAAGATTTTATTTATACGACAGAGTGAGAAAGCACCAGCAGGGGGAGCAGCAGAAGGAGAGGGAGAAAAAAAAAAAAAAAAGAAGAAGGAGAGGGAGAAGCAGGCTCCCCACCAAGCAGGGAGCCGGATGTGGAGCTTCATGTGGGGTTTGATGCGGGGCTAGATCCCAGGATTTTGGGATCATGACCTGGGCTGAAGGTAGACGCTGAGCTGACTGAGCCAGCCAGTCATCCCCAAAGATGCTTGGTTTTTGTTTTTTGTTTTTTAAGATTTTATTTATTTGACACAGAAAGAGTACAAGCAGGGGGAGCAGCAGAGGGAGAGGAAGAAGCAAGCTCCCCACTAAGCAGAGACCTCCATGTGGGACTCAGTCCCAGGATCCTGGGATCATGGCCTGAGCAGAAGGCAGATGCTCAACCAAGTGAGCCACGCAGGCGCCCCTTCAAAGATGTTTTTAAATAGAATCTTTGTTGTGAGAAAAGTTAGAAATTTGATGCCATCTTGAGAATGGTAAAAAGAAAAAGGCTAAATGTTTGTCAGTGTTTTTATTTGTTTTGTACTTACAAAACAATGTTATTGTTTCGTTTACAGCC